TAAAAAAAATACGATTTTTGTAAAAAAATTCTTTTTTATATTTTTAACTTTATAATGCTATAACTTTTTGAAAGATGTATGGATCAATATAATTTTTTTTTTATGGATGTATGATGTCTTTAAATTTCATTTGGTATATTTTTTTTATAAATATGACCCTTTACCTGCCTACGGCGGGGATTCAAAAGTACAACTTTTTTACAAAAAATTTACTTTTTCATCTTAACGTTTGAAAGTATTCCGGAAAGTCTGACACTTTTATTTATATCTTAAATTAAAGTTAATGTAATCTACTTTATTATGCGACAAAAAAATGTTGGACTTTATTTTATCTTCACGGTGAAAATGGCTACCAAATGCTATTATTATGTGAAAATTCTCGATTTTATTTTTTACATTTTTAACTTTATAATGCTATGACATATTTAAAAGTGTATGGATCAACATTATTTTTTTATAAGAAATAATATTTTTTAATAATCCCTTTTTCATTCGACATACTTTATCTTAATTAGGATATTAATAATGAACTAGCAGATCATGTAGCTTTTGGAATAATCCACCAATTTTTTAAAATTAAACACTATCTAAAGATTTGCATCGAAGCGTTTTTTTTTGATAGTGATTTTAATCACTGTCAGATATCATTATACTTGATCCATCTATGCCACGTCACCACTGTGCCGCGACCCTCCTGTGCTGGGTTTTTTTTTTTTGTGTCTGTTAAAACTTTTTCTTAGCACTCACCGAACCGATATCTTTCAACATTACGTTAAACATCACAAATCGTATCTCGTCGAAGACATTACATTTATGATAAATACAATATATATACATCTTTCATTTGACATACTTTTTAAATTACAAATATAAACATTGGTCTTTATTTTGTCTTCACTGTGAAAATGGCTACCGTATGCTATTTTTGTGTTAAAATTCTCAATTTTATATTTCTATAACTTTTTGAAAAATGTAAGGAACAAAACAATGTTTTAATAAGAAATATTATTTATAAATCCTCTTTCATAGGAAATGCTTCTTTTTTTAAATTTCCATTTCCATTTATACAAGGAGGTTAAAACCTTAAAAATGCATATAGAATGTAGTACTTTTTCAACTTTGATAGTGTTTCGAAAATACTGACACTTTTATCTTCTTCTTCTTCCTCGCCTTAATCCTAACTACTTGGGATTAACCCTTATCCTAAACTTCCAATTAACACGATCTCCCATATCCTCTACGCTCACATCACCTGTCCTCATATCGCATTCAATAACTTCTCACCATCTTTTTGGTCTTCCTCTACCTCTTCTTCCTTCAACATTCATTTATATAACTGTTTTTACCGCTTCCTCTCTCTTCATAACACGACCAAACCATTTAAATCTATTTTCTCTCATCTTATCCACGATTGACGCTACACCTATACTCCCTTTTATATGTTCTTTCCTTATCCTATCTTGCTACACTCATTCTCTGCTCTACTTCCTTATCAACCGCCCAACACTCTCAACCATACATCATAGATGGCCTCACTACAGTCTTGTAGAATTTACCTTTCAGCTTCATTGGAATTCTTTTATCACATAAGACGCCAGACGTCTCCCCACATCAACCAAACGCCCTTAATCCTGTGTCTTATATCCTCGTCAATACCACCGCTCTTTTGCACAACTGACCCTAAATACTTAAAACTCTCCACCTCTCTATTCATGTCCTCGCCTATTGTCACTGACCTCATCATTTAACCTACCTCGTGTTCTCTTCGTTAAACTCGTACTCTATATACTATGTCTTACTTTTGCTTATTCTTAAACCCTTTTCTTCAAAAGCTGATCTCCACACATCTAGTCTTTGATTAATTGCCTCCCTATTTTCTCCGAATAACATTATATCGTCAGCAAAAACAACATGCACTACGGCACTTCTCCTTGTAGTTTTCTAGTAATTTCATCCATTTCTATAGAAAATAAGTAAGGGCTTAAAGCAGAACCCTGATGCACTCCTAATCTTATCCGAAAACTTTCTGTTACTCCTATCACACTTTTTACCCTAGTACAAGTGCCATCATACATATCCTCTGTTATATTAATGTACATTTTGGGATTTATTTTTTCATTAATGCCCACTTTAGAACCTGTCTTGGTACTCTATCATACGTTTTCTCCAAATCTATAAATACCATAGAAAGCTTTTTGTGAATACTGGCACTTTTATATATACCTTAAATTAAAGCTTATGTAATATACTACAATATGAAAAAAATAACTTCGGACTTTTAGTTTTTATGGTGAAAACGGACATGAAAGTTAATAAACAAATACAATATTTGTAAAAAATTACAATATTAAATTATTAATTTATATATAAATAATAATTTAAAAAAAACCCAACACAACACAATTTCCAGACTACTTATTAATCTTAACAATACAATTTAATTATACTCATAAAATTTTCTATTAAATAGTGCAAATTTCAAACTTGAAGATGAGCTTAAAGTTATGGTAAAAAATTCAACTTTTTTTTATTATTAATTTTCAAAAAATCAACTTTTAACTTTAATCACTTTTATTTAGATGCATGTCTTTATCTATCATTTGGTTTTTTTTTATAAATCTAACCCTTTACCTGCCCACAAGAGGGATTCAAAATATTAACTTTTTTTTTTTTAGTTAAAGTAAATCATTAAAATTAATTCAGTTCTGGATATTTCAATAGTAGAATCTTTTTAAATATCAAAAGTTACTTAGAAATGATTACTATGATTTCTATTTAAGTGTTCTATTACGATAAAAATGCAAAAAATAATGAGTTTTTCTGATAAATTTACAATAAATAGTAATTATAAAACTTTCTGACTGCATATTAATCTTAAAAATAACATTGTTTTAATTCTCATAAAATTTTCTATTTAATGATTCATTCTAGTCAACGAAGGAGTAATTTTG